CGCTGCAGACGTACGGCCTCATCCGCCAGTATGAGGTGAGCACACCGACAAATGTTCAGAAACTCACAACAGAAACAGGAAGAGACAACCATGAAACAATCCTGACATGTAAGTCAGTTTGGACTGCAGGTGAAGAAGACTCCATTACCCACAATCCCTGTGTACCCCACAGATCTCCTACAAAGCCTGAGCTCCTTTGACACAGAGTCGACCTGTCCAATCAGAGCGGCAAGTGTTCAAACCGGCCAATGAGACCAGCCACGTCTTCATGGGCTCTACCCAGGCTCCACCTACTCCTTCACAATAAGAGCCTCCACCGTTAAGGGCTTTGGACCTCCGGTGATCACCCAGTTCACCACCAAGATCTCAGGTGAGCCCTTCAAAATAAGAGCGTCACAGTAAAGGTTTATAGGCACCAAAACAAAGCATGGGTTAATTTCTAAAGGGGTTTCCCAGCCACAGACTCAGGGGCTAAATCATCATGATTCTGAATAAAAAAAATGTTCTGGGTTTAATTCTTAATCCTGATCACCTTAATCCTGCTCATACCTGCTCACCTGTACAGCTCATTTGTCTTTGAACTCAGACAACCTGATGATCATATGTTATTATAAAAACAAACAAACAAAGATTTAAATGTTAAAAAGGGTTTGTTGACACGTCGTGTCTCCTCAGCTCCTCTGATGCCTGCGTACGACCAGGAGTCTCCTCTCAATCAGACCGACTCCACCGTCACCGTCCTGCTGAAACCAGCTCAGAGCCGAGGAGCTCCTGTCAGGTAACACACAGTCACACACACACACACACACACACACACACACACACACACACACACACACACAGATGTTGAAATATTCAGCAGCATCAATCTTTGGCCTCATAAAGTTTTTATGTTTGAAACGTTTAAACATTAAACACGACATGAAGTGGGACTGAAACATCAAACGGTCTGTTTCCTGTCAGAGCTTTTATTGTGACGGATTCAAACACGCTGTTCATAAAAATCCTCTCACCTGTTTAATTTAGACACATTTACATCAGGGCTGTCAAACAATTTAATTCTTAAATCACCATTAATATTTAATCGTATGTTTGACATTATTTCAAATTAAAGAATAAAATACTTAAGCTTTTATTGTGAAAGTTTGTTCTGTCTCAAGCTGAGAGTACTTTACTTGCTGTGTGCTTTTATTTTGAAATAAAGAAAGGCCCTCTGGTAGATGGAAGGTTAGGACAGGAAGTTAAGCACAGAAACAGGAAGTGGTTAGGGATCCCAAAGTGAGGTCAAACAGCTCAAAGGAACGGTAACAATATGAATGGATGAGTTAATACTGACGGACGCTTCACTCAGCGGCCTCTACCATCAGTGTGTGAATGGATGAGTTAATACTGATGGACTCTTTACTCAGCAGCCTCTACCATCAGTGTGTGAATGTGTGTGAATGGATGAGTTGATACTGATGGACTCTTTACACAGCAGCCTCTACCATCAGTGTGTGAATGGATGAGTTAATACTGATGGACTCTTTACTCAGCGGCATCTACCATCAGTGTGTGAATGTGTGTGAATGGATGAGTTAATACTGATGGACTCTTTACACAGCAGCCTCTACCATCAGTGTGTGAATGGATGAGTTAATACTGATGGACTCTTTACTCAGCGGCCTCTACCATCAGTGTGTGAATGGATGAGTTAATACTGATGGACTCTTTACTCAGCGGCCTCTACCATCAGTGTGTGAATGTGTGTGAATGGATGAGTTAATACTGATGGACTCTTTACAGCAGCCTCTACCATCAGTGTGTGAATGGATGAGTTAATACTGATGGACTCTTTACACAGCAGCCTCTACCATCAGTGTGTGAATGGATGAGTTAATACTGATGGACTCTTTACTCAGTGGCCTCTACCATCAGTGTGTGAATGGATGAGTTAATACTGATGGACTCTTTTCACAGCAGCCTCTACCATCAGTGTGTGAATGGATGAGTTAATACTGATGGACTCTTTACTCAGCAGCCTCTACCATCAGCGTGTGAATGTGTATGAATGGATGAGTTAATACTGATGGACTCTTTACTCAGCAGCCTCTACCATCAGCGTGTGAATGGATGAGTTAATACTGATGGACTCTTTACTCAGCGGCCTCTACCATCAGTGTGTGAATGGATGAGTTAATACTGATGGACTCTTTACTCAGCAGCCTCTACCATCAGCGTGTGAATGGATGAGTTAATACTGATGGACTCTTTACTCAGCAGCCTCTACCATCAGTGTGTGAATGTGTGTGAATGGATGAGTTAATACTGACGGACTCTTTACACAGCGGCCTCTACCATCAGTGTGTGAATGGATGAGTTAATACTGATGGACTCTTTACTCAGCAGCCTCTACCATCAGTGTGTGAATGTGTGTGAATGGATGAGTTAATACTGATGGACTCTTTACTCAGCAGCCTCTACCATCAGTGTGTGAATGGATGAGTTAATACTGATGGACTCTTTACTCAGCAGCCTCTACCATCAGTGTGTGAATGTGTGTGAATGGATGAGTTAATACTGATGGACTCTTTACACAGCAGCCTCTACCATCAGTGTGTGAATGGATGAGTTAATACTGATGGACTCTTTACTCAGCGGCCTCTACCATCAGTGTGTGAATGTGTGAATGGATGAGTTAATACTGATGGACTCTTTACACAGCAGCCTCTACCATCAGTGTGTGAATGGATGAGTTAATACTGATGGACTCTTTACTCAGCGGCCTCTACCATCAGTGTGTGAATGGATGAGTTAATACTGATGGACTCTTTACTCAGCGGCCTCTACCATCAGTGTGTGAATGTGTGTGAATGGATGAGTTAATACTGATGGACTCTTTACACAGCAGCCTCTACCATCAGTGTGTGAATGGATGAGTTAATACTGATGGACTCTTTACTCAGTGGCCTCTACCATCAGTGTGTGAATGGATGAGTTAATACTGATGGACTCTTTCAGCAGCCTCTACCATCAGTGTGTGAATGGATGAGTTAATACTGATGGACTCTTTTCACAGCAGCCTCTACCATCAGTGTGTGAATGGATGAGTTAATACTGATGGACTCTATACTCAGCAGCCTCTACCATCAGCGTGTGAATGGATGAGTTAATACTGATGGACTCTTTACACAGCAGCCTCTACCATCAGTGTGTGAATGGATGAGTTAATACTGATGGACTCTTTACTCAGCAGCCTCTACCATCAGCGTGTGAATGGATGAGTTAATACTGATGGACTCTTTACTCAGCAGCCTCTACCATCAGTGTGTGAATGGATGAGTTAATACTGATGGACTCTTTACTCAGCAGCCTCTACCATCAGTGTGTGAATGTGTATGAATGGATGAGTTAATACTGACGGACTCTTTACTCAGCAGCCTCTACCATCAGTGTGTGAATGTGTGTGAATGGATGAGTTAATACTGACGGACTCTTTACTCAGCGGCCTCTACCATCAGTGTGTGAATGGATGAGTTAATACTGATGGACTCTTTACACAGCAGCCTCTACCATCAGCGTGTGAATGGATGAGTTAATACTGATGGACTCTTTACACAGCGGCCTCTACCATCAGCGTGTGAATGGATGAGTTAATACTGATGGACTCTTTACTCAGCGGCCTCTACCATCAGTGTATGAATGGATGAGTTAATACTGATGGACTCTTTACTCAGCGGCCTCTACCATCAGTGTGTGAGTGTGTATGAATGGATCATATTGTTTTAAAGAACCCTCAGGACCAACACCTCCTCTTTTACTTATTAACAAATAAAGATATGTTCTTTATAAATAACAGAAACCAGACTGATATTAAACACGACTGTTAATTCAGTGAACAAACAAACCCTTTCAAAATAATGTTTCTAAAATGTTAATGTGGACACTAACAAATAATTAATACAAACTTTTTTCACTTGACTCTGACACACACACTCCGTTGTCAGGGCCCCGAGGGAGGTGGTATCCGCGGTAACAGTCGTCATGTCAACAGCTGTCTTCTCTCCGTCCCTGTGCTGTAACGAGGGATTTGGTTAATTAACGATCAGCAGGCGGGGCTAATCAGAGCTTGCTGCTAACACCGAGGATTAACAGGGGATTAACAGCTAATGTGTCAATCATACACACACACACACACACACACACACACACTTACAGCTGACAGGACACACATCGACGCTTCATTTCATCTCTGTTCATTAACTGACAGTTTATCTTTTCTACAAACAATAATGACATGAGCTGCAACAATAAAAGCATCGGAGCTCATCTCCACATCGGACTGAGGCTTTTATTTTCTTAACCGAATGCTCATTAAGCTCTGTCACCATAGTCAAGTCAGAAATCAACGTTGAGTCAGAGTGAACACAGATTTCGGTGTTAAGATGACACGTTTAAAGACACAGTGAGGGCAGTGGTGATGGAGGAACATCAGAGCTAATGAAAATAAAAGGGGGCCTCAGACAGCGCCCTGTGGTACACTGCAGCAGACAAAACTGAGCCTTAAACACTGAAACTTGTTCCTGATTCACGTCACACATGGAGACGAGCTCCATCGTCGCAGGAGGTGGACAAACATGAGAGTTCATTAACATTTATGAAAGGGAATAATCAGTCCACAAGAGACTTCCTGTTGGCTCCTTGTAGATTTAAAGATTTAATGATGGAGTCTTTCTCAGAAAGAAAAATGCCAAAGAGAGAAACACAGAAAGAGGAAATCCTCCAACAGGACACTTTCATGCTCTGATTTTTATCAAACACTGAACGTCCTCACTTTTTCTTCAATTCAGATATAACACACCCGGCTAATGTGGCATTTAGGCGTCCTGGGAGAGCAGAGCACTCGTATTGAACACATGTAGACACATCGGCTGACGACGAGAGAACAGAGAAAACACAGATAATCTCAGAAAGAACGAGATTTCTGTTTTTCTTTTATGTCAGAACAAGACAGAGATGAAAAGAACGTGTGTGTGTGTGTGTGTGTGTGTGTGTGTGTGTGTGTGTGTGTGTGTGTGTGTGTGTGAGAGAGACGTGCGGTGTGTTAATTGACATGATAGCTGATGTGAAATCCATCAGATTGAACAGATGCTGCTCTGAGATACGATTTCATGTTTGTGTGTTTATATTTAACTTTGCTTTTGTCTCTTCTGACACCAGAGTGTGTGTCGGCCTGCAGGCACTCTACACACACACACACACACACACACATGACAGAACACACTCTGATGTATAAGAGCCTCAGATTGCAGGACAAAAGGTGTTGCCGCCGGCGACCTGCAGCTGTAATCAGATTACTGTCACAAACACACACAACAAGTGCTGCGACGAGAGCGTGAAGAGATGTGATTGGAGACGGTTTGTCAGAGACAGAGAGAGAGAAAAGAGAGAGAGCGAGAGTAAGAAAGGGGATAAAGAGAAAGAGGTGTGAGGGAGGAGAGAGAGAGACCAGAAAGAGAAATAAATCAAAAGCAAGAAGAAGAAGAAAGAGAGAAAAATTAGACAAATCTGTTTCTTTCTGTTTGTGTCTGTGGGAATTAAACAATACTGCAGTGTGTGCGTGTGTGTGTGTGTGTGTGTGTGTGTGTGTGTGTGTGTGTGTGTGTGTGTGTGTGTGTGTGTGTGTGTGTGTGTGTGTGAACGTGTGTGTGTCTTCCTGTCCTCCTTTAGTTTCCTGTCCAGCAGGAAATGTGACAATACAGCATTTTCACCATCCACACCCTCAATGTGTGATTGTGTGTATTACAGCAGGTGTGTGAGTGTGTGTGTGCGTGCATGCGTGCATGTGTGTGTGTGTGTTGTGATATATGACTTCTGTCCTGAATCTGGTTCCTGTGAAAAACACAACTATTGTTCCCAGCGTCCCCGAGGACACAAACAGTGTTGAGAACTGGCCGCGTTGCGTTCAGGTGCAGCTCAGTGAGTGTGTGAATCACAGCCATGGTGTGTGTAAAGTCGGTGTGACACCTGCTGGTGGGATGCAGTTGTTTAAAATTGTGCTGATGCCGTGCTGCCGGGCTTTTGAGGCTTGTTGAGAGTTTCAGAGCCGAGAGGTTCTGGAGCTGTTCGTTCAGTCCCTGACACGGTCGAAAACTTTTCATCCTATCAGGACAGGTTTAGGAGAGATGGGACAGTTGATGGAGCTTGTCAGGTTTCTAGAGGTTTCGGAGAGGGGGTGGCAGCATGTGCAGGAGCAGATCTTTAAAGGACTCTCAGACTTCAGTTTGGATGTTTCTACAGGTTCATTAAACTCCATCACAGAGGGCATGAAGCTGCTTTCAATGACCGTGGTAAAAAAGTGTTGTTTATGAGCCCCCTCCCCCCTTCCCCCCTCCCTCTCACATTGACAGATAGCTGGCATTTCTTTGTCCTTTAAAGCTCCAATTCTTCTCCAGCAGAATTTATTTTCAATTACAATGGGCTGACAAACAGACAAAATGATGATTTCTGATGTAGGACTCACTGCTCCCTCTCATGTGGGTTTTAATGTCAGCCTGATGTAAAGTTACAGCCTCTACATACAGAGAGAGTTCATAAAACAAAGGAGAGAGTGATGGAGGAGAGGCAGAGCTGACCTTTCTGTGGAGCTGAATAATGAACCAACAGATGGGGAGAAGAAGACAAGCTCACTTTTATGTGAATGGAAATCACGTCACAATATTCTCCCGCAATGTCACCTCTTGAAAACGACGAGCTCGGGTCCAATGTGAGCAAGAAAGCAGGAGAGTCTCCCAGAAAACGCTGCAGCCTACATTTCCCATCATGCAACAAGGCAGTGTCTTTGCATAGAGCTTTCCTGCCTGTTAAACAGCCACTTAAAACTCGAATTAGAATAATTAACTAACTCACTGACTGAACTGAATATTTAATAGCCGTTATTTTACGGACTTAGTGATTGGCTTTCTAACACACCAGTTGGATTATAAGGTAGGAAGCTAACTAGCTAACAAGCTAACTAACTAACTAGCTAACTAACTAACTAACTAACTAACTAGCTAAATAGATAACTAGGTAACTAGCTAACTAACTAACTAGCTAGCTAGCTAACTAACTAACTAGCTAACTAACGAGCTAAATAGATAACTAGCTAACTAACTAACTAACTAACTAGCTAAATAGATAACTAGGTAACTAGCTAACTAACTAACTAGCTAGCTAGCTAACTAGCTAACTAGCTAACTAACGAGCTAAATAGATAACTAGCTAACTAACTAACTAACTAACTAGCTAAATAGATAACTAGCTAACTAACTAACTAACTAACTAGCTAACTAACTAACTAACTAGCTAACTAATTAGCTAAATAGATAACTAGGTAACTAGCTAACTAACTAACTAACTAGCTAAATAGATAACTAGCTAACTAAC